CACAGCTGTGTCTAGGGTCTGACCTTCCTCAGAGCTGTTCACTTCTTGGCCAGGAGACTTTGACTTAGCGCCACCCCAGTCATTCTCCAGGTTCAGTAGGATCCTAGCAGCTCTTCTCTACTCAGTGTTCTCAGCTAGAACCTGAAGGTAGTAGGTCACCTTTGGTCTTATTTGAGGCTACGATTTTTTCTTGTGTTTGTGGAATAGGCACTTAACCTAAATCACACCAAGATGTCTAGGGAGCGAAAGTGAAAGGTATAAGGCTCTTGGGATGGTGGAGGAGAGACTATGATAGGCAAGATGCTTTATTCATTTTTGAGCAGTTGTCCCAAACAGGCATATATAAGAACCCTAGGAGATAGATAGCACACCTAGAGCCCATTTTTCATAGTGACTAAACCTATAAACCAGCCGCCAAAAGAGCTCCAATCTGTTCCCAGTGTGGCTAGTAGTTTTATTCAAAGAAGGTTTAAACCATATATATATATTTATATATGGTGTGTATATATATATATATATATATATGGTGTGTGTATATATATATATGGTGTGTATATATATATATATGGTTTTTATATATATATATGGTTTATATATATATATTTACCATTGGAAAATTATAAGTTTTCCTTTCTATAATATCAAAGGAATGTTTATAAATTCTAAAATAAATTTCAGAATATTACCTCACTTTTCTGGAAGGAAAAATTCCAGTAGTTTCAGCCATTTGGAACATGGCCACAAGTGAGCTGCCATCAAATCTGAACACTCTTTCTGCTCCTTCCTAAATAACACAGCCTCATGATTAAAAATGTTTATGACATGGGCTGGGGATTTAGCTCAGTAGTTTCGCCACCTGCTGCGCAAGCGCAAGTTCCCAAGTTTGATCCCCAGTACCAAAAAAAATATGACATAAAGACAATCCCAAGATATGACTGCTGACAGCCAAGGGAAAAGACAAAAAAGGTTCCTTGATCAGTCAACAAAGACTCAGATGCCCTGCAGGGAGGGAATATTTAAAGTGAGTAGAAGATTCACTCTTTGCCCTCAAGCAATTTATTTTTTTTAGGTTGCCTCATATAAAATTGCCAGTTTTGTAGGACTGTATGTTCAGTACACTATTGGAAAACAAAGTAATCACATGTTAAACAATAGCAACAAGAACAAAATAACATCTAGTTCTATATTAAGTTATGTGATATAAAAGTAAATATCTAGGGAGAAGAACAATTGGTCTGTGCCAGCTGAAGTAACCAAACATGGCTTTCCGGATAAAGCCAGAATAATCTGAGCCATGGACCCAATGTGAAGTTTAAACAATGTTAAGAAAAGAAGTAAAACTCTCAACAGAGAAAATGACATGGCTAATGGGACAGGAGCAAAAGAGCATGTTCTGGACAGTAGAAAGTTCACTCACAACATGGAAATGACTTGGATTAGATAGTGTGGCATCAACTTGTGGCGATCCTTGTATACCAAGAGAAATGTATGCTCCAGTTTTGTCTACTTTACTTTTGTATTGAAGGTCTGGGACAGTATAATTTTGTGAAATGAATGAGGGAGAAGCTTTGATTCATGATAAGGTAAGAATTCACCAAGGATTGACAGAAAAGATGAAGCTCTTATGCATCATGGTATACATAGGCAAGTGGTCTCTAAAGCTGGCTAATGTGTTTGCTAGATGGGCCAAAGGAAAAAGACTGGCATCTGCCGGGGATGTAGCTCAGCATCACAGCACCTGCCTGGTGAGCTCAAGCTCCTGAGTTCAATCCCCGGTACCAAAAAAAAAAGAATCTGGCATCTGGGAATACAATCAGGACATTTCTTTCATTAATCTGGAGAGGGGTGATAAGAGCCTGGAGTAGGATGAGAGGGAGGGAGGGAGGGAGGGAGGGAGGGAAGGAGAGAGAGAGACTTAGATTGTAGATATTTTAAAGAAACAGTGTAAACCTCAAAAACTTGAAAGAAGCCAGTCACTAAAAAACACCTGTTATATGACCCCATTTATATGAAATAGGCAAATTTATAGAGACAGAAAGTAGATTATTGGTTCCTAGAACTTGGGGGAGCAGGGAAAAGGAGAAATAAGAGTACTATTAATGGGTATGGAGATTTAGGGGAAGGTGGATTACATGTTCTAAAATTGATTATAGTGATGGCATACAGTTCTATGAATAAGAATCATTGAATTGCACATTTTAAATGGCTGAATTATATGGAACGTGAATTATGTTTCAGTAAAGGTATTATTAAAAAACTAGGGAGAGGGAATCAATAAAATGTAGTGAGGGCTGGGGATTTAGCTCAGTGGTTCCGCCGCCTGCCTCACAAGCACAAGGACCCGAGTTTGATCCTCGATACCAAAAAAATAATAATAATAAATAAAATATAGTGAATGACAGGAAATATATGTTTAATGGATAAAATGAGTCCCTCACAGTAGATTTCATAATTTCCAAATTGATTCTCAATGAAATAACAATTATGGCCACTAGGACTATTATTATTTAATATTATTTTAGAAGGTCTGAGTGATACAATAAAACATGAAACATAAACAGGAAATATAATACTGGAAAGGAATTGATTTAAGAAGACCCACAAGAATCACCTAAAAATGACTAGTGCTGATGAAATATAGGAAAATGATCATATGTAAGATGTACACAAATGTCAATAGATTATAATATCTCAGTAACAGCTAATAAGAAAAAACATTATTTAAAAATTATTTAACCTTGAAATAACCTAAGTAATAAATCTGAATGGCTTACGCAAGGGAAAAAGATAAATCTTTATTAAGCAATAATAAATGAAGATAAATAAAGTAGAGATGTGTATCAGGTTCTTTGGTAGGAAGACTAAATATTATAAATGTATAAGTCCCCAAATTAATTTTCAAAACCTTATTAAAGCCTATAGGTAGGAATGAACATAATAACATTGCTGGCAGTGTAAATTTGATGAAATATGTCAAGAACCTTCAAAATGTTCAAAAAAATCTAGAGAGAGAAAAGGCTTTCTGTACAAGATGCTCAATCGTTTCCTTTAGATCCTAGATGAAAACTCTCATTCTTCCTCAAAGTTTTCTTCTCATTCCCAGTTTCTTCAAACAAACGATACTCACTTAGTTTCCAGACTGTTCAATATCCTGATACCTCTCTTTAAATGTGTCATAACTTTGATTATTTAAGAAAAGAGTAAAGTAAGGAAAGCTAAACTCAACTGACGTATTGTTACCACAATTTGGAAATAATCCTATGACACAGTGGAAAGTGTTTACTGGTGGCTGGGTATATGATTTGGTAGTGGTTATTTCTTAGAAAGTGTGTATCATGTGTAACGTTCCTGACTGGGGTTAGCGGAGTTAATGGTCCCTCAAAGAACAAAAATGAAAGAAAGTACCTGTAGCTTCCTAATGGTTATAGAGAGAAGTAAGTTGAAGAATGGTTGAAAAACATAGTAGCCTGACTGAGATAATAGCCAGGATAATTTCTAATCCCTTCATCAAGAAAAAAGCTCCACTCTTACAAAGCAGTAAACTCAACTTTTCTGTTTACTTTATGCATTTTAATGCAAAGATAATATACATTCATTATTTTTTAAAATGCAAAGACATAACTATGTATAAAATGACAGGCTTGCTTCTCTGATTTGTCCTGTTCCTTAGAGTTATAATTACTTATAAAGCATTATGGTATTCCTGAGAATTAAAAGTCACCTCAGTTTCTGTCTCTAGTATGATTTCATTTTTTTGTAAAAGACATGATTATGTTCTTTGTATTCTTTTATTTTTGTACTCCCAGTCACTACTACTTACTCACCTGGACATTATAATTTTTCGGTAGGCATGATTTATTTCCCTCTTAGTTGTATGTAAAATTTTGATTTTAATTATGTATTCATTTTAAAGTATCCAGCTAGCTCTTCCTTGTTTATTTTCAGCTATTTCTAAACCAAATTTAATCTCCATTTTTTCTTATACCCAAATTAGCATGTATATTCATGTACATTGATGACAGAAAAATAAAGGCAGATTTTATCTTGCTAGTGTGGAAAGTGCTGAAGTCATTGAAGCACATAAATAATAACTAAGTGGGAAGTTTAAACTCATGGGTGTTTAGCCAGGCGTGGTGGTGCACACTTGTAATCCCAGCACCCGGGATGCTGAGACAGGAGGCTCACCTCCAGTTTGAGGCCAGCCTGGGCTACATAGTGAGTTCAAGGCCAGCCTGTAGTACATAGCTAGACCCTATCTCAAAAAAACAAACAAACAAAGCATACATCACTAAGCTCATGGGTGTTTGCAAACCTGCAGGTGAGATAATATGGGAAACAGATACCAGGGCCTGGTGGGGACAAGTGTCAAGTGGGCAGCATGTCCCTCATCAGGAGCAGGAAGCCCCTATTCATGTTGGAATTTAGGCTAATTTTATTAGATCTTTAAGTCAAAAATCTAGATTTTTTAAAAAAATGTAAAATCTCCCAATTTTTTTAAACACTCCTAAAATTATAGGCTGAAAATGGCCCTCAGACTACCACACTGCAACCTCTTTATATTATTATAACCATTTTTCTCTTGGGGGAGATGATGAAAAACTATCCCATGAATGCATTAGAGAAAAGATGTTAACTGAATTTACCACATAAATTTCTACATTTGTATTTTCCCAGTCTGTTTTCGAAAACCTACCACACTCCTCCTACACCACACTAAAACTGTAAAGTTGGCCTATTCATGTAGGTTCCCTATTTGCTGGTCCTCAGTCCCCTTCACCAACTACAAAGAAAGAGAAGTACAAAAGAAGCTTCACCAACTTCATTTTCTAACCTCCAGTGGTTTAAACCAGAGTTCTGTGTCTTTTCTTCCTCAGAGTTGCTGAGAAATTATAATTAGAGGTTTTCCTGTTGTGTAAAGGAAAGGAATTCCTTTCACTTCTTGCAAGACTTCATTCTATTCTCAACAAATTTTCTTCCCTGTCCCATTTCTCTTTCTGCAGGTGATAGAGGGAAAACTGGCACCATTCTTGGGCAAGGTCATTAAATTTGCCACCTCACATGTGTACAGCTGCAGTCTCTGTAGCCAGAAGGGCTTCATCTGCGAAATCTGTAACAATGGAGAGATCCTCTACCCTTTTGAGGATATTTCAACCAGCAGGTACAGAATATCTTATCTTATAAAAGAATGCCTGAAAATGTCACATGCAGTCTTTTTTGGCCAGATCAGGCCAATTTTTAGTTAAGTACTCTGTCTCTGTCTCTTACCCAGGAATACATTTCCTTTGTTCTTGGAGAACACGTTTCATCCTTTAGTTTCCTATATTTATTTCCAACCCTTACTCTACTACCTTTATCCAGAATGAGATAACAGAGTTGCAGAGAAACATCACCTAACTCTGCCTTGTAAAGGTATGAAGAGTGTTCAGATTCAGTTTTAGAATGAAGATTTAGGAGGAAGAATCTTCACCATAAACAATGGTGATAGGCAATGGGAAATTGCCCTCTCCTAGAAAGACTGAAACTGGATTAACTAGAGGAGAAAGACATTTAGGCTGTTTCTATTTTTTGGCTATTATGAATACTACCTATATGAACATTTGTATATAAGTTTGTGTGTGATGTACACTTTTTAAAGGTATCTAATTCCTAGGCAGTGAGCTAACTACTGTACTCAGGGAAGTGGAGCCTGGGTGACTGTGTGTGTTTCTTTGCATTTATGTGCCTATGTGTGGGACTAACCCAAGTTCTTGAATGTTTACAAATGGTCTTTGGGTTTAAAAAGAGGCCAACAGGGCTGAGTTAACTCTTACCATCTTAACTCTAAAACTACCCCACATGCTTCAACTTTCCCTGGCTACATGCCTTACCTTCTGTTCTGAACCACAATGTTAGCCCTGCAGGGTGGGAAATGAGCCACGATATTCATGACCAAAGAAGCCAGTGCACACACACAAATGGTATGTGTTTCTATTATGTTTTGGGATGAAAGGAAAAGTGGTATGTATCATTTTTTGATTCAAAAAAAGCAATAATAAGAACCTTGATCTCAACTTAGTGGGGGAAAATCATCCATAAATCAGTGGATGTGGATGTGCTGAAGTCCAAATATTACTTTGGTTAAAAAAGTAATCCCACATAAACTCCTACTTTTCTCTCCTTCGTGTCCTAAAACTTTCATCACCACATTGCAGTGTGTCTGTGGAGACAAGCATGTGGTGAGTGGGCAGCTGCTCACAGGGTTCTCTAGTCATACTTCTAGTTTCTGTTTTGTATTTTATTGATATCTGCTCTAATCTTTCTTCCTTTCTTCCTTGCTCCTTCTTGCTTTAGATTAAATTTGTTTTTCTTAGACTAGTTTCTTGAGGTGGAATTTTATGCTATTAATTTGAGAGCTTTTTTTTCAGATACAGGTGTTTTAGCTATAAATTTTACTCAAAGTACTGCTAGCTGCATTCACTATATTTTGATATTTTGTATTTCATTTTCATTCCTTTCAAAATATTTCAAATTCTCATTCATGATTTATTCTTTAACCCATGAGTTATTTAGAAGTATACTGTTTAGTTTCCACATATTTTGGAGTTTCCCACATGCTTTTTTCTGTTCTAGATCTTTAGTTCTACATGCTAGAAAACATACTTGGTAGTTTCAGACATTTTAAAATTACTGAGACTTGTTTTGTGGCCCAGGATACAGCTTATTCAGTTGGGAGCATTTTTAATTTGATTTTTATTTTTATTACAGTCACATTCCATAAAATTCACTCTTTTGAAGTATCTAATCTGCTGATTTTTAGTATAGTCACAAGACTACAACCATCACCAAAGTCTAATTCTAAAACACTTTCATCATCAAAAACAGTCCTATCTCCATTAATAGTTTTTCCTCTTTGCCCTTTCTTCAAGTCATAGGCAATCAATAATCTACCTATTTTGGACATTTCATATAAAGCAAATCACACAATATGTGGTTCTTTGCATCTAACTTCTTTGACTTAGTATGTTTTCAAGATTATTCCATGTTGTAGCATGTATCAATACTGTATTCCCTTTTTATGGATGAGTAATAGCTCACTATATGGCTGTACTAAATTCTGTTTATTTAGAGCAACTGATGACTTTTTAAAAGATGGACAAAATGGACAACTTTGTAGAGCTAGCCTGACCAAGAAAGTAAGAGAAAAAATGCACATTGCCAAATGAGGAATGGAATGGTACAGAAATTAAAAGAATTATGAAAGTATGTTGTAAACAACTTTATGCCAACAAATTATACAACTTAGATGAAATGGAAAATTATCTAGAAAGACAAATTACAAAAACTGACTGAAGAAGATATAAAATCAATTCTCCAAAAAAGGCATAACATTTTTAATACATATGAACAGAGTCAAAATACAGAGACAAAAATGGATGAACTTCAAGGAAAAATCGATGATTCCACTATGATAGAGACTTCAGCACCACATTATCTGTAACTGACTGATCTAGCAGGCAAACAATAAGTAGACACATACATAATTAAACTGAATAGCACTATCAATTATCTGGGTCTATCTGACATTTATAGAATATTTCATCAAACAACCGAATGCACATTCTGATCAAGCTCATGTGGAACATTTACAAAGAGATCACATCTAGATCATCTGAGCAAATTTGAAAAAATACAAATCATGCAAAGTATGTTCTCAGACCATAATAAAATTAACTAGAAACCAATAACAGAACATTGCCCAGAAAACCCCCGAATATTTGGAGATTAAACAAAATACTTATAAATAACATGAGTTGGTAACTTTTGTCCATACAAAAGCAGGCACATAGATGTTTATGGAAGCTTTATTCATAATTGTAAAAACTGGAAGGAACCAAAATGTCCTTCAGTAAGTGAATGAATAAACAAAGTAGGGTATCTTCCCATGATTGAATATGATTTAGCAATAAAAGAAATGAGCCACAAAATGACATGGTCAAATCTTAAATGCGTACTGCTAAGTAAAAAGCTATTCAGAAAAGGCAACATACTATATGATTCCAACTCCATGACATTCTGGAAAAAGCAAAACTATAAAAAGATAGTAAAAAAATAGTCATTATCCAGTTCTGAGGCTGGGGTGGGTTAATGAGTTAAAATAGAATTTTAGGGCAGTGAAACTGTTCTGTGTATTATAATAGTGCATACATGGCATTATATGTTTGTCAGAACCCATGGAACTGTACAACACAGAGTGAACCTTATTTTAAAATATGCACTTTGGGCTGGGGATTAGCTCAGTGGTTCGGCCGCCTGCCTCACAAGCACAAGGACCCGAGTTCGATCCCTGGTACCAAAAAAATAATAATTAAAATAAAATAAAATAAAATATGCACTTTATTTTTTTGTTTGCTTTTTTGTTTTGGGGTTTTTGGGGGGGGTTTTTTGGTAATGGGGATTGAACTCAGGACTTTGAGCTTGCAAGGCAGGCATGATGACACTAAGCTAAATCCCCAGCCCTAAAATATGCACTTTAGATAATGTTTCAATACTGATTCATTAATTGTCATAATAGAGGAAAAGAGGCAGGTGTCAAGGGTACATAACATGGAAACTTTCTATATGTTTTGATTTGTGAATCTCCAACTGTTCCCAAAAATAAACTCTATTAAAATTTTTTAAATTTATCCATATGAATGGTTGACTTAAAGCTGAACAGTTTTTAATAAAATTTATTTGAATAACTTCAGACTTCCAGAAAATTTACAGATATAGTACAGAGAGTTCTCCTATACTATACACCCAGTTTCCCCTTGTATATTGTATATTTTAAATTAGTATGGTACACTTTTTATAATTAGTGAACCAATATAGATATATTATTAGCTAAAGCCATAGTTGGTTTTTTCTAGATTTCCTTAGTTTTTGCCTAATAACCTTATTATATTTAGTTATGATATATTATAATATTATTATATATATTTATCTCCATAGATTCCTCTTAGCTGTGATAATTTCTCAGATTTTACTTTTTTTTATGATCTTGACAGTTTTGAGAAGTACAGGTCAAGTATTTCACACAGCCCTTCTGTTGGCGTATGCCTGATACTATTCTTTCTTAAGTTTAGACTGGGTTTTATGGGCTTGGGGAGAAAGACCACCGAGTTGGGGACTATTTTCCTCACTTGTCACATGTCCATACTATCAACATGGCTGGCCACTGCGGTGTTTGTGTCAGGCCCCCCACTGTAGAAGTGCTCTTCTTCCTCCTCTCTCAATACTGCACCCTTGGGAAGAAAGTGACCTTGTACAGCCCACACTTAAGGAATGAAGAGTTATGTTCCACCTTCTTGGAAGCAGAACTTGAACAAAATTATTTGGAATTCTTCTGTAGGGGGAGATTAATCTCTTCATTCCCACTTAATTACTTATTTTTCAGTGGTTTATTTACTCATATCAGTATGGACTTGTGCAGTTATTTTATACTTTGGCTTATACAAAATACTGTTTTACTTTACTGCTCAAACTGATCCAGCTTTGGCTATTCAAGCCCTAACATACCCCAGTCATTGTGGGGGTTTTGTTTAGAATGTATTTTTGTTTGGAAGGAAGGGTTTATGTAAAATTTTCTTACTTTCTGGCAGTAAAAGATGGTCCAGACTCATGCTCATCTTTTAAATTTCTTACCCTAGTCCAAGTCACAGCCATCTGTCCAAGGAATGCTGATTTGTTTTATAAGAAAATGACATTAGAAACGGGAACTGAGCGTGAAGTTTAAAGCCCTCAGTCTTCAGACTTGACCCTTGACTATAGCAGAGGTGCCACTCTGCACATCAGGATCTCCCATAAGACTTAGCTTATCTAAGTCCAAGAATCTGTGTCATTAAAGACTTTATGACTGTGAGTCATCACCAGAAAAAAAGGTAGCTCTTGACATTAGAGGTACTGGATTCTCTCCAAAATGACCTCATTAACATATCTATGGACTCCTAGGGATCTGTCCTCAGTAGGAAAGAATACTGTATAAGGCCAAGAGGCCTTTCAGAATCCTGTTTCAATGTCTGTGTCTGAGGGAACCTCTCTTGACCAGCTTTCCTGGCATTCCAGGTTGACGATCCGTAAGGAACCTATTGAGCTTCCTCTTGTTCCCAGTTAAATGATGGGAACAATTTGTACAAGTCTACAGGAAAAGGCAAAAAGAAACATTAATAAAAAATATATTAAAGAAAAACATTAGTCAGAAATACCAAGTTGCTGATTTAAAACATGCCTGTAAAGATATGTTGAATAAATAAATGTGATAAATAAAAATAAAATTGAATGGTGGGATAAATTTTGAAATCTGAGTACTATAATAGAAATTTTTATGAATATGATGTCTCAGATTTGTCTCAAAATAATTGATATTGTGGGGGTGGGGTGGATAAAAGATTGCTAATTGTTGAAGCTAGGTGATAAGTACACAAGGATTTATTACGCTATTCTATTTTTAATATATTTGAAGTTTTCCATAGTATGACATGTTTTAAAATCTGTAAAAATAAAAATGAGGTATTTAGTGAATTTGTTATCACATATCCTTAACCATATTGTTAAATTTAGCACCTTCAAGTCCTGAGAAATATACTTAGTATATTTTTAGATTCAAGTATCATTTGAATACCATAATTACAGTTTGGTTAAAAAAAATCACAAGTTTTAGAACTATTCATTCTTCCAGTAGTGAGCTATTGAGCATAGTATGTATTGTGTGTGTGTGAGTGTGTGCGCGCGCGCGCACGCATGCACTAGAGACACATGGTGGATATCTATTTGCTCAAAAATATTTTATAGTATAGTAGGTGAGATATTAGATGAGATTAGGTGATATTAGGTGAGATATTAGATATTAGATTATAGTAGATGAGATATTAGATAGTTATATTAAAGTGTGGAAGAGGGAGGTGGAGGGGGAATGGAAGGGAACATAAAAAAGATTAAGATGTGTTATATACATGAACTAACTCTCCACAATGAATATAATCATTATATATTGCAAACATGTACTAATAAAAATGAAATTTTTTTAAAATAATAAAAGTAAAGTGTAGCCAGAGCACAGAAGGAAGTGGACCTGAAACTCCAAGAAGGGATCTACTGTCCATGCAAGTGATATACGTTATGGGTGACAATAAGTTTTACAATGTCTAAAACTATTAGAGAGCTCCATGTCAAGCTCTTAAGCACTGATCCAGCCCCATCAGTATTGGAATATCCTGTTTTAACATGCTTATTTGATTATGAGCATATTTTTAGTACATGATTGCAGTACATGATGTTTACATTCCTTGTGTGGAGTTGGTAAATATACATAACACGTCTTAATTTCTTTTATTCTCTTTTACTCCTCTTCCTCCCCCCCTTGATCCCCTTCCCTTTTGAGAACAATCAATCTCCCTACTTTCTATTATCTATTTTTTATTTTGCTCTTTATAACCTGGGTTTCTCATCTTAGAGAAACCATGTGTGTCTGATTTATTTCAGTTAACATTATGGTCTCAAGGTACATCTGTTTTTCTACAAATTACTCAAGTTTATCTTTCTTTATGGCAGAGTAGTACTCCATTGTGTGTAAATAGCACATTTTCTTTATCTGTTCTTTTGTTGATGGACATATAGGCTTCTTTCAAGATTTGGCTGTTATGAATTGTGCTGCTATAAACATGGGTATACATGTATCCCTGTATTATGATGTCTTTAACTCTTTGGGGAAGATGCCTAGAAGGGTAATAGCTGGGTCAAATGGAATGTCTAGCTTTAGGGTTTTTTTGCAGAACTTCCATACTGATTTCCAGTGGTTGTACTAAATTAGAGTCCTACCAACAATGTAGAAGGGTTCCTTTCTTTTCTTTAGTAAATTAATCAGGATTCATGAATATGTAGTTTGAAAATATTCCCCTGCTATTAATTTTTAGGGCCTCATCTCTAGCCCATGTAGAGAATGTGCTGGGACTATGAGGGAGTGGCATTAATACTTACTAATACTAGTACCAGCAGTCTATATATCTCATTTAATTCCTCTGCCAGTCCTCTGAAGAACTGCAGTACTGGCACTTTCAGTTTGTTTCTTATTGTGGTACTGGAGACTAAACCAGGGCCTTCACACTAAGCTACCTCCCAGCCTGTTTTTTAATTTTTTGTCTTTGAAACGGGTTCTCATTAAGTCACTAAGTTGCCCAGGCTGGGCAGGAACTTGTGATCCTTCTACTTCAGCTGCCCAAAGCGCAGGGATTACAATTATGTGCCGCTCACTTTCATTTTAATAATTCAAAAACCTAGGTTCACAGGAGACAGTTGTCTCGTCCCAAGAGATAATGCCAAAATTTGAACTCAAATACATCTGACTCCAAAACCTGTTTGTTTCTTTACATATTACTGCTTCTTCTATATTTGTAGCCCCAAAATCATTTCAAGTACACTCCCTAAAATTCACTTGAAAAAATTTTTTAAAAGCCTCCTCTAAGGCTGCTTTTTTGAATCATCTCTTTATTTACTTGTAAGTTTTTGCACTTGGACCAGTGAGCCATGGGATGGGGAAGATAGGCCTTTCTGCTGTGACACCAAGGAAGGACTGTTGTGATGGGGACCACAGCACAGCACCTATCTCTGGAGCAGCCCTGGCAGTGAGGTCAGCTATGGAAGCCGAGTACCAGTCACCCTTCTATCCCGGAGACAATGCTGACAGATTCGCCTTGAGTTTATTGAATCTTTTTTCTCAAACACAAATTAAGTACCTACTTGTCTTTAACCTAAATAAGAAAACCTTCCAATCCAAATTGAAAGACTTTAAATACAGTAGGAAGATCCGGAATCATAAGACTGCTTTCCTTAAGCCTAATCCAGCATTTACCTCCTAGAGGACTACAAGGAAAGCCCAGCTTTAGGAGAGATAAGCATTCAGTTAAAACAATGACAAAATCCCACATCCTAAAGAAATAGAAATAACAACACATCCACTCCTTGAGAATAAGACGTAAGGGCTCTAATTTTTTGAGAATTACAAATCAGAAGATTAGGCTGATGCGGCACTAAGATGTAAGGCAAAACAATGAGTATACAAGCAAAGGAAGCAGTCATCTAAAGCCTCAGAGTGACCAAGGGCGTAATTTTGTTTTGTTTTGTTTTGTTTGTTTGTTTTTAATCCTTAAATTGCCTCCTATGCAGCTTTCTTTCTGACATCTCTACATATCACTAAGGACACCTACCTAATGCTGCTAAGAAGTCCATCTTGCTTTGAACTTTCTGTGAAGTTGCCATTCCTGAATCTTGAAATGCATCACTAACACACAAACACTTCATCTTAAAAACACTCCGCATGCATCTTAACACGAGACTTATGAAATCAACCAGCCATCATAAATCAGTCCCATGCTTTCGTCCTGACCCACTTGGCTTTGTTAATTGTTTCATGTGACATGCAAGTCATCCCCATGGGTTTTCCAATATGGAGTATACTGCACTTGAAGACCTTATGACCCCCCCATACCCTTTGGGGCTGTATTCAGATGTGGATATTCTATTAGAAGAATACACAACACTGAGTTTGGTGTTCTTCACGTAGTGGGCGTTCCATAAATATTTAATATTTGGTTCAGCTTTGTGCAGTGGCAGTATAACCAATGAGGTTTATCCATGGCACAATTATTGCTAATTAATATTTGGTTCAGCTTCCCCAGGTGTGTGTACATTCATGAGAACACTGAAAAAGCTTTTAACTAAACTAATTAGTTAAGGGAATTTAAAATGCTTCCAAAAAAAGAGGAGCATAGTGAAAGTCTGAGGTAATACCACAGCTTTTTATGTAAGGCTGAAGCAAGTGACCTACCATTTCAAATACTTCTCTGGGCAGAAGCATCAGCCTCCCCTAGTCAGCAGCATTCATTGGCATGAGAAGTAGGGTTTCTGCTGTGTATTGGAGGGGATCTGCAGCTTATTGGTAACTCTTCTAAAAGAGTTCATTTTTTTATATTCCAAGGTTCAAAACTACAGTTTTTCTATGTGTACAAATAATTGGTCCTTTCCTGTCCCCCTCCAAGAAATAAGTAAGGGCATGCAGGACCTTAAGCTTATTTTATTTTTTTTATTTTTTGGTACTGGGAATCAAACTCAGGTCTTTGTGCTTGTGTAGCAGGCAGCAAAACCACTGAGCTAAATCCCCGGCCCTGGACCTTGAATTTATTAATGCCACACTCTTACTAGTTGAGTTCACCTACTCTGTCGCCATATCCAATGTGCACATACCTGAAAAATATTTCCCACATCACTCTTGAAAATTAACACTAACCTCATGGAAAAGTCCATTGCAGGTACGTTTCTAACAGAGTTCATCCTCTTTTTCATGTTGAAAATCTACTTTGTTGGTATACAGAAAAGGTCTCCCAAGGAATTTAGTCCAAGCCTCCTTGCTTCCATCCATCCATCCATACTCCAGAAATGCCCAGTTTGAGCAAAAGAACATGGAGACCCCTCCCCACACACTTCACCTTTTGATTTGGTCTTTTTAATTCCACATTTCCCTACAACTCATACTGCCCTTTCCCCAGCACCTGAACTTACTGGGGCCTGGACGTTGTCCTTTGTCTTGGCACTTTCTGTCCTTCTTTAGGTTCCTTGTATACAAAGGAACCTAAATACCCAAACACCTGATTGTAGCCAGATTTTACAAAGTTTGTCTAAAAAGAAAGAACTTGTTTATTAAATTGTTGAATTGCTTCTTCCCAAAGAAGAAGCTAATACATAATTTTTTTCAGCAAAGCTTGAATAGTACATTAAGAGCTATGTTTTATGTTGCCATTTCCCTTTGATTTGTGCATGTTAGTACAGTGCATAGCTCCATGGAGGCTGAGTGTGGAGATGGTTTGGCCTAAAGTTGTCACTTAATTTATGTACCTGAAAAACTATAAAACCCTAGATTTGCCAACATCCTTACAAATGCTCTTCCATTTTTCTGAGGAGCCAGCTGTACTTTGTCACTTTTTGAAAGAGTTTCTTGTTAGGTGTTTGGGCAAAACTCACCAGGGTTGAGGGGATGCTAGTGGAACAAAACTTTAAGAGGCAAGGGAAAGAGCAGCACTACCCAGAAGCTAGTCTTTCACTGTGGCTTCCTATTTGTTCAGCCTCCATTTTTGTGAGTCCTTGCACAAACAGACTGAATACCTGGATTATGCCCTCATCTGGACTCAAATACACATTCATTACATACCCTTTTCTCACTAATCAGCCTGTCACATTCCTTTGTTGGTAAATGGTTCCAAAACAAACTGTCAGAGCACCTAATTAGCAGGTTTGTGGGCTGTGCTTGGCAATCTTGTTACATCCTGTTCAACAATAGAGGACAACAGTCTTGGCTAGGTCGGGTTTATGGGAGAGAAGAGCTTCCCCCAATGTATATACTCTTTTTTAATGATACTTCCTTTCTGTGGTTTTTCTTGGGAAGCAGCCACTCATTGAGTACTGTAATGATGTGTGGTGTCTTATAAACAGCTAGAGGAAATGTGTAGACCTCTTCATAGCTACCTTTTCTGGAGAACCACTTTGTTTCCATCTATAAATTGTTCCTTCCTGTCTCTGGGATAAAAGAGGAGCATCTTGAGAAACTTCCTCAATGGTCCTCTAGGACAATAGTGATTCCTGCCTGTGATTTATTTGAGAGAGAGAGAGAGACAGACAGAGACAGAGAGAGAGACAGACACAGTCTCTGAGACTTGACCGAAGGCCTCACCCATGCTAGGTAAGCACTACCAGTGACTGCATTCCCAGCCCCCGCCCATGATGTAGAATCATCCCTTACCGAGATGGAAGGGACTGTGGAAACCATCTAGACATTTGGAGAAGGGCAAAACTCAGAAACTCAAATATTTTGTGAGTGGTAAAAATAGGATGGTGACATACCAAGATGAGATTCTATTCTTCTAAAGTCATATGACTGCCCACTCCTAAATATATTTCTTGTGTCAGTCAAGGTTTTGCTCAACAGAAACTCTTCAGCACAATGGTAGTTTGCTCTTTTGGGATGGAGGGGATTAAATTTTTGTCAAAGAGTAACTTTGACAAAGTAACTTGGTAAATGACATTTCACCTTGGCTTCATGGCTCCTATATTCACACATCAAAATGTTTCAGAATGTCTGCTCACACAGAAGAGACTTTTGTGAAACCCTTGGTACTGACCCGAACCTTTATGCCATTAAGCCACTTGATAAATATAGTGCATTTCTAAACACAGTCCTAGCTGGTGAGGCTGCATTGTGTTTGAGGCTATTTGGTCACTTGAATAGTTGGCTGTCTTCTCTACCTAGATACATTTCTTACCGAGATTCTAAGTTAGGCATGTGGTTACTATTGTGTTAATTGTGTCTCTTTTTTTATTTTTTGGTACCAGGGATTGAACCCGGGTCCTTGCTCTTGCGAGGCAAGCAATGGAACCACTGAGCTAAATCCCCGGCCCAATTGTCTCATTTTTAAGCATTCCAGACAACTTAATTTTTTTGTTTGAAGAAGGGAATGTTCATCATTGTTTTTGTTTTTGTTTTTTGGTACTGGGGATCGAACTCGGGACCTTGTACTTGTGAGGCAGGTGCTGGAACCACTGAGCTAAACCCGCTGCCCATTCATCATTGTTTAACTCATATTTTAACTTTCTAACTCTAAAATTGATGTTTACTATAGAAAATGTGAAAAGCTGTTACTATAGCCCATTTACTAAGTGACTCAAAAAGCTGGTATTTTGAGTAGGGCCTGAACAAGAGAAGGCTCTACAACAGGTCCAGGCTGCTGTGCAGGCTGCTCTGCCACAGAGCCATATGATCCAGCAGATCCAATGGTACTTGACGTTGTCAGTGGAGGTAGGGATGCTCTTTGGAGCCTCTGGCAGGCCGCCATAGGTGAATCACAGCGAAGGCTGTTCGGAGTTTGGAGCAGGGCTCTGCCATCATCTGCAGACATGAAAAGCATCTCCTGGCCTGCTATTGGGCCTTCATGGAAACTGAATGCTTGACTATGGGATACGAAGTTACCACAGGACCTGAGCTGCCCATCATGAATTGGGTGCTGACTGACCCACCAAATCATACAGTTGGATGTGCACAGTAATAATCTATCATTAAATGGAAGTGTGTATACATGATCCAGCCTGAGCAGGTCTAGACAGCACATGTAAGTTACATGAAGCAGCCATCTTACCTTCTGTCTTCCAGGATGCACCTGTGACTTCATGGGGTATACCTATATGGCATCACCACTCAAAAGTGGACAGCTGCAGCACTGCAGCCTCTTTCCGGGATATCCCTGAAAAATAGTGGTGAAGGGAAATCGTGACAGTGGGCAGATATTCAGGCAGCACACCTGGCCATACATTTTAGTTGGAAAAAAAAAATGGTCAGATTTATGACCATATACTGATTCATGGACTTTAGCCAGTGGTCTGGCCAGATGGTCAGCAACTTGGAAGGAACATAACTACAAAATTGGTAATATATTTGGGGAAGAAGTATGTGGATAGACCTCTCCATATGGGTGAATGATGTAAAGATGTTTGTGTTCCATGTAAATGCTCACCAAAAATGTGGCCTCAGCAATAGAGGACATTGATAATAAAGTGGATAGGATGACCCATTCTCTGGGTAGTCGTCAACGTTTTTTCTCAGCCACTCCTGTCATTACCCAATGAGTTCATGAACCAAGTGGCCATGATAACAGAGCTAGAAAGAAGCCAGGGCTGGGGATTTAGCTCAGTGGCACCACACCTGGCTTGCAAGCACAAGGTTCAGAGTTCGATCCCCAGTACTAAAAAAAAAGAAAAAGAAGCTATGCATGGGCTCAGCAACATGGACTTCTACTCACCAAGGCTGACCTGGTTACCTGCTGAATGCCCAGTCTGCCAGCAGCAGAGACCAACACTTGAGTACCCAATATGAAACCATTCCCCAGAGTGACCAGCCTGTAATCTGGTGGCAGGTTGATTATATTGGACCACTTCCATCATGGAAAGGGCAGTGCTTTGTCCTTTTTGGCATAGACACTTATTTTGGATATGGATTTGCCTTTCCTGTACATAATGTTTCTGCCAAAACTACCATCTGTGAACTTATAGAATGCCTTCTCCACCGTCATGGTAGTCCATACAGCATTGCTTCTGACCAAGGAACACATTTCGTAGCCAAAGAAAGAAGTGAAGCAGTGGGCTCATGCTCATAAAATTCACTGGTCTTATGGCTGGGGGCATCACAATCCCCAACTTGAAACTGTACTACAAAGCCACTGTGATAAAAACAGCATGGTACTGGCAAAGAAACAGACCCAAAGATCAGTGGAATAGATTAGAAGATGCAGAAACAACTCCAGACATACTCAGTCACCTCATCTTTGACAAAGGAGCCAACCACCCTCATTGGAGGAAAGATAGCCTATTTAATAAATGGTGTTGGAAAAACTGGATTTCAACCTATCAGAAATTAAAACCAGACCCATACCTATCACTGTGCACTAAACTAAGATCGAAGTGGATTAAAGATCTAAATATTAAGTCAGAAACACTAAACTTGCTGGAAGATAAGTTAGGTAGAACTCTTGATGACATTGGCATAGGAAAAGACTTTATGAACAAATCTTCAGTAGCACGAGAGCTAGCACAGAGAATCAACAACTGGGATCTCATCATATTAAAAAGCTTCTGCACTGCAAGAGAAACTACCAACAGAGCTAAGAGACAACCTACAATGTGGGAAGAAATATTTAGCAGCTGTAGCTCAGACAAAGGTCTACTATCAAGAATATATAAAGAACTGAAAAAAATCAGACCTCCCAAATTCAAAGACCCAATTCAAAAATGGGCATCCGAAATGAACAGACATTTCTCAGACAAAGAAGTAAAAACAGCAAATAAATATAAGAAAAAATGTTCAACATCACTGGTCATTCGAAAGATGCAGATGAAAACAACACTGAGATTCCACCTCACCCCAAAAAGAATGGCTGCTATCAAGAAATCAACCAATAACAAATGCTGGCAGGGGTGTGGAGAGAAAGGAACCTTTCTCCATTGTTGGTGGGAGTACAGACTGGGGCAACCACTATGGAAATCCGTATGGAGATACCTCAAAGAACTAGGACTACACGTCCCATTTGACCCAGGTATTCCCCTACTGGGAATATTCCCCAAAGAATTAAAAGAATCATACCACAGAGATATATGTGCACCTATGTTTATAGCGGCACAATTTGTAATAGCTAAAGCTTGGAAACAGCCCAAGTGCCCATCGACTGGAAACTGGATAAAGATGTGGGTTTTTTAATAAAATGGAGCCATAAAGAATGAGCTCAGCCATAAAGAATGAGGAACTAGAGACATTTATAGCTAAATGGATGCATATTGAGGCCATACTCTTAAATGAAATAAATAGGACACACATGTGTAAATACCGAATAGTTTCTCTAGTGTGAGAAATTTAAAATGTAAATAAGGATGAAAATGATTAAAATCAATAATTGATAATTTGAAATAAAAGGCCCAAGGGTTTGGGGATGGTAGAAGGGAAAGGGGAAAGAAAAAAATTATGAGAAAAAAAAAATGGAATCAAACTCTCTGTAGATAGGGAAGGGTGGAGGGGGTGAAGGGTGCAGAGGTAATGGGAGAAAAAATAAAAACTAAGATGCATCATGTTCTGGTACAAACACCCAATGATAAATGTAAATGTATTTTATACCTAAAATGTACCAATAAATATATATATTTAAAAAATAAAAAATAAAATTAAAAAAATAAAAATTCACTGGTCTTACCATGTTCCCCACCACCTAGAAGCAGCTGGATTAATAGAAAAGTAAAATGGCCTTTTGAAGAGGCAGTTACAGTGCCAGCTAGGTGGCAATAACTTGCAGGGTTGGGGCAAGGTTCTTCAAAAGGCTGCATATGCTTTGAATCATTGTCTACTATATGGTACTGTGTCTCCTGTAGCCAGGATTCATGGGTCCAGGAATCGAGGGATGGATATGGGATTGGTACTACTCATCTTGACCCCTAGTGGCCCACAAAATTTTTGCTTCCTGTTCCTGCGACCTTATGCTCTGCTGACCTAAAAGTCTTAGTTCCAGAGGGGAGAAGGCATGTACCAGGAAGCACAGCAATGATTTCATTGAACTGGAACTAAGATTTCCCCTTGGTCATTTTGGGCTCCTCATGCCTCTGAGTGAACAAGCTAAAAAGGGAGTTTACAGTGTTGGCAGTTACAGTTACAGTGATTGATTGAGACTATCTAGGGGAAATTGGACTATTACTCCACAATGGAGGGAAGGAAGAATATATTTAGAGTGCAGGAGATCCTTTAGGATACCTCATAGTATTACCATGTCCTGTTATTAAGGTCAATGGGAAACTACAAAAACCCAATCGAGGCAGGATAACAAATGGCTAAGAACCTTCAGGAATGAAAGTATGGATCACCTCACCAGATAAAGAACCAAGACCTCCTGAGATACTTGCTAAAGGCCACAGGATTATAGAATGGGTGGTAGAAGAAGGTAGTTATAAATACCAGCTACAATCACATGACCAGTTACAGAAATGAGGATTGTAATTACTGTATTTCTTTCCTATTTTTAAAATATGATTGGGCATATTTTAATATCAGCTCTTAAGTATTGTTAAATCTATATTATACTGTTAAGTTATGGAATGTTAGGAGTAGAGTAAGCATCAGACAAAGAAAAACTTTGCCTTCTATTCTGAGGAGGGACTTCATGCATTTCCATTTATACACAGGACATTTATATAATATTAGGCCTGATTATGAACTCGCTATTGTATTTGAAAATTAAATATGGTTTTAGGAGATGCTTCTGGTTGTCCAGTTGACAAGGGGTGGGTTGTGATCGTTAAGTGTTCTATGCCAATTTGAATGGATTAAGAAATGCCTAGAAAATTACTGGAGCACAGTTCTGCATGTGTCTGTGGATAATTGCCACAACCTGAAGAGGGAAGACTCAACCCAGATGTGGGTGTCACCAACCAAGAGGCCTGTGCCCTGGACAGAATAAAATGGGAAAGAATGAGGAGGAGGAGCTCCAGTCCCTTCAGGCTTCTAGTGCATGCTCTCTAGCCTTCTAATGCAGACCCATCAGCTTTCCCACACAGACTCACACCAAACTCTACAGTTAGCTCCAGGTCTTTGACCTTCAGCTGGATCCTCCATCTGTCCAGTGCACAGCCAGCCATTTTACATTCTTCCACTCCTTATTCCACAGGTGGCCATTGTAAGTATACCTTATTATCAAATCTGTCCCTCTAGTGACTGATATGTACACAAAAATGTAAAGAAAGAAATTCTCCATAATTATTCTTTTCCCACACACATGCATTCATATATGAAACTGGGATCATGTTGAATATATAATTTTATACCTTGCATTTTTATCACATTATATCTGACCAATGAAAATAATCATATTTAGCCTCTAAACTTTAAATGATGGATACTATTAGAGGAAATTTTTTTAATTGGCTCAAAAAACATTTAGATCCATTTAATAAGTACAGACAGGCTAGTTCATGGAAAGATCACTGTAGGGGATAGAGAAGTCTAGGTGTCATTCATAACTGTGCCAAGAACTTGCTACATGACCTTTAACAAGTCACCACCCCCTGGACCTACCTATCAGGCATATGGCACTATTCTAAGCTCTTGTTGACAAAAATGTTGAGCTTTGCTCTGGCTCCATTGCTTAGCATTTTTTATTTGTCTAATAGTTTGTCATGAAATTTTCAGTGAAGTTGACTAATTTTGACACTGTTTACCCAAAGGAATTGGGGTACAAATTCACATATCTGTTCATTCCACTATTTTGAAAGAATGTTCTTTTTAAAAAATGGACTTTTCTGTTTTACTCCCTGATCCATCTGGAACACCACATTGTAACTGCTCAATAAATAATTCATGAATAAATGAGTTTGCTTTAATTTTACAAAATTGTAGTTACTAACACTATTTTAAATGGCTTTAAACTTATTTCAGGAAAATTGGTACTTAAGTGACATCAACAAATGTGACTTTATTGAGTGACTGCTAACATTCTATCATATGTTAGGAACAGATGTATTTTAGTGGGCTAATGGAGAATGTAATGTCAGGAGAGATACGATGTAAAAAATCTGAGCTTTGCTAAGCTACTCAGATAATTTAATTTTCCAAACATCTTTTAGTTCGTTTTTTAGTGTATACAGTACTTTCTTCTTCCCTGTGAGACTGTAAATAAGTAACCTGAATACACAATAGGGAAGAGAAGGAGTATTT